ATGTGTTTTGAGTCCCCTTTGAAGGTATCAAGTTTTATTTCGCTCCTCAAATCATGAGGCAGAGTGTTCCAAACTGCTGGCCCAGAAAAAGAAAAAGCCCTCTCACCATATTTCTAAAGGGACACACGAGGTGTTAAAATTAGTCTAGAGCCACTGGATCTTAGTTCACGTGATGGTGTGTATGGTACAATGAGTTGGAAAGAACTTTTTTTTTTGGGTCATTCATATTGCATAGGTCATTTTTTGGGTCTGTCGTTACACTTTCAGTAATGGAAGTAATGTATGTTTTTTAAAATCTTTTCCAAGCAGTAGTAAACAGCAATTAACTTTATTCTAGAGCTTACTTTTGGTCTTAGAAATCTTAAACAGTCTTTTTAAAATTCAAATCACTTAGGTTACGTTTTGGTTCGATCGCTATACTTTCAGAAATTGATGTTATATATATATATTGTATGTGTATGTGTGTGGGTGTGTGTAGGGGGTATGGTGTAGGGGGGTATGTGACAGTTATTTCCTTAGTACTGTCTTTAACCACACTGTACCCGTTGGCCGTGTCTTCATGCACGAGGTAACACGTCAGTCTGTAGGTGAATCAGTCGTCTACCCCCCTCCCCTCTCCCTCCCCTCTCCCTCCCCTCTCCCTCCCCTCTCCCTCCCCTCTCCAACCCTCTCCCCTCCCCTACCTCCCTCCCCTCTCGTACACTCACATAAGACAGTTATCTCCTTGGTACTCTCTTTGACCACACTGTACCCGTTGGCCGTGTCTTCATGCACGACGTAACACGTGAGCCTGTAGGTGGATCAGTCGTCTACCCCCCCTCCTCCTCCCATCCCCCTCCCCTCCTCTCCTCTCCTCTCCCTCCCCTCCCACTCTCCCCTCCCCTCCTCTCATCCCCCTCCCTCCCCTCTCGTATACTCACACAAGACAGTTATCTCCTTGGTACTGTCTTTAACTACACTGTACCCGTTGGCCGTGTCTTCATACACCACGTAGCACGTAAGTCTGTAGGTGGATGAGTCGTCTACCCCCCTGCCCTCTCCCTCCCCCTCCTCCCTTCCACTGTCCATTCCTCTCCCCTCCCTCCCTCCCCTCTCGTATACTCACACAAGACAGTTATTTCCTTGGTACTGTCTTTGACCACACTGTACCCGTTGGCCGTGTCTTCATGCACCACATAACACGTCAGTCTGTAGGTGAATCAGTCGTCTACCCACCTCCTCCTCCCATCCCCCCTCCCTTCCTCTCTCCCCTCCCCTCCTCTCATCCCCCTCCCTCCCCTCTCGTATACTCACACAAGACAGTTATCTCCTTGGTACTGTCTTTGACCACACTGTACCCGTTGGCCCAGTCTTCCTGCACCACGTAACATGTAAGTCTGTAAGAGATGAATCGTCTACCCCCCTCCCCTCTCCCTCCCACTCCTCCCTTCCCTCCCCTCCCCTCCCGAATACTCACATAAGACAGTTATCTCCTTGGTACTCTCTTTGACCACACTGTACCCGTTGGCTGTATCTTCATGCACGACGTAACACGTGAGTCTGTAGGTGGCGGAGTCCGTGGGCAGTGTGGTCTTCAGGAAGACGCGAATGGTGTACAGGAGGTTGCCATAGAGGTCGGTGGCTACGGTAGAGGCCTGGGACACGCCTTGGAATAAATGCTCGCCTTTTTGGTTCCTGGGAGAGAGGAAAAGGGTTTTGTGGTTGGTGAGGGGGGGCAGGGAGGAGGAGGTGAAG